AGATTTTATTGGTAATCAAGTTTGTCATCCCAAAATTCATGATTTCAACATCTACTTCTATGTGGGAATGTTTGATACGAGCAGACTAACTGACTATCATGTCTTATGTGATGAAAATGATTTCATTCCTAATGATTTATAAGAACTTGTCCATTCACTCTCTTATGTATATCAAAGGAAATGCAATGGCAATACCTATGGTGGCTTTCTTTTACTGCCCCAGTCCGTGAGCTTGTCTTGGGGCTGGGCTGCTCCCTTTGTGGTCCCTGCTTGTGAGCATTTTAGTTGGTTTTCCTTTGTCTTGTTTGGTCGTTTTTTTATGCCCCTGGCCGTAGGCCTTCTTTTTTAGCTCTTTTATGATTATAAAAAAAAAATGGTTGGTTTGGGCTTTTTTTTTCTCTTCAATGTCCCTGGTCGTGAGTCTTAACGTCCTGGCTTGCCCCTTTGCTGTGAGACTGGTTTAGTGGTTGTGTGAGCTGCTGCCCTTACCTTAGAGCATTCACGTGGGATTTTTTTTATTTTGCTTGGTTGATCCTAGTTTTCCCCTTTGTTGTGAAGCTGGTTTAGTGGTTATGTGGGTTGCTGCCCTTACCCGTGAGCATCTCAGCTAGGTTTTCTTTTGTCCTATTTGGTTGTTTCCTGCTTTCTCCTTTGTTGTGAGGCTGGTTTGGTGGCTTTGGTCTGCTACCCCTACCCGTGAACATCCCAATTGATTTTATTTGTCATGATTGGTTGTTCTTTGTTGTCCCTGACTGTAAACATTTATATGGATGATTTCATGGCTTATTTGACATGAGAAGCTTTTGATTAAGAACGGAATTGAATGGATTTGATATTGGCATAGCTTTTGGAAATTTAGAAAGTTGTCCTTTATGGATTATTCTGATTTACTTTGTGACATATAAAAGACTCTTGAAACTTCATTTTGGAAAATCATAAAGTTGATATGAATTAAATTCATGAAAAGACTTGAAACTTATAAAATTGTCATTTGGATAAGTGTTTGGAGATTCAACCTTAAAGATTGGAGAACATAGGTATCACATTTCAGTGCAAGCTTGAGTGTGAGAGTACATAAAGGTGATGGAGTCATGGGTACAGTGTTATGGGCCCATTTGAATCTATTTGAAACAAAAATTTGGAGAGGATGCATTTCTTGGGTTGATCCAATTATATAAAATTTGAGAAGATGATATCCTCTGGATTGATTCAAGAATCTTGGACTCTCTTTTTCAGATCTTTGTCACAGTTTTGAGGGTTGTTTCACCCTTTTTCCTTTCGACCTTTTGGTTGGCTCAATTCCTCCTCTCTCTCATCCCCATTTTAATTCTTTTTTTCTTGCTTCTTGGTTCGGTTTTCAGTGCTTATGATATAGTCTTTTTGTTGTATATGAAAACATCAAGCAAGATCGCAAGTATGTCGGTTTTGTTTTGGGGCTTACGGTGATGATGACAAAGGCACACTGGTGGTAGAGCAGAATGATATCTCATCGTACAACATCAGAACTCAATCTTGGGGTCTGATGAACTGTAGGATGAAAGTATCATTCACCGACACAAAACTAGCGGGGGACCCGTACCTTATTAGGTTGTTGGCGGTCCTACGTCCGATGACGTGATCGACTCGTGGATAACTATTCCTTTTTCAAAATTGATAAAACAAGTTGATAAGAACAGATACAATATTTTTACTACAAAATTGATACAATTTTTCTTTTGTATGCTTGAAATATGTGCATGCTAAAATTTAAAATTTTAAATGTGTTACAACTTGGTTGTCCATTTATTGATTACCGATATTGGATTAAGGAGTACCCTCCTAAGTTAGGTTCAGTAGGACACCCTTCTAGTTGAGTGGCAGGTTTTATGCATCCGGGTGACCAATAATAGCCTTCAACGTCCCTCGAGTACAAATATATCATTTGAGCCTAGCCCCGACCCGAGTGCTTGCGATCCCCTCTTTTCGGATTTTTCGTAAGTTTTATTAGATTTTGGACAAAGCACTCGTAGTCTCTTTTCTCATGGGATTTCTCCATAACTTTGATGGTTTTATTTGAATTGCTACTCATCGATTTTCCCAGGTCTTCTGTTGTGGGTTATTTGTCGATTTTCTCGAGTTTTCCAGGCAATGTCTTTCTTTTGTTTATACAGTGAATACTAGTTCGGTTAAAGGAGCGGCATGTCTCCCAAATATACATGTTTGATTTACATTACAGCATTTTATTTCACTGCATGTTATACTTTTCTCCTAGCATGTTATACTGTCCTCCCAGCACGCTATATTGTTTTCTTTCTTTACTGTATATTATATTGTCTTTTTTTTTTATATTGCATGCTTAATTGTTTTGTTACACACCATA